TTTGACAGCTCCATTGTTTCCTATGGGGGAGGAAAAAAATCAGCAAAAATTAACGAAAAGTCAGTTCAAAGTCAAATTAAGTTTGCACCCATTTTAGAAGGTGCAGAAACTATTCCAAGCATTTAAAACCATTTTTGACCATTTTAAGACACTTTTTAAACTGAAAAAACAAACATCGCTAAGTGAAGCAGGGGACCTAAAAACGCATTCAGTATGCGAAGCATGGTCCCAAACTTCACTAAGCGAAAATCACCCATAGGAAACATCGTTAAACGGTGCATATTATTTTCTTAAAAAACCATCATTTTGCGAATTCATCGCTAAACGAGGCACTCGTTAAGCGAGGCACCACTGTACTTCCTCTCTTCCTCCATCTCTAGGGCTCAGCAGTTAAAATATGTCACCATGACAGCCATCTAAAATGGGCTGACAGCCATCTAAAACCCCAGTGGGACTTCATTATCCTTGATTATTGGAGGGGGCATGGCTGTGCTTTCCCATCCTGACCTGGGGCCCATTCACTGCTCACTTCTCCTGACTGCTCTGTAGGGTAATCCCAGCTCCACTTAGCCAACCACTTAGCACTCCCTCTCAACCACGAAGGATTTACTTTAATATCCCCCTTTATCTGAATCATTTTTCATTTTGTGTGACCTCCTCTTGCCATATTGTTCCCTCCTGTGCTTCCTTATCTGTGGCTCTGGGAACAAGTATTTAGAGGAAGGAGGGGCAATTGGACCCTTCTCATGTTTTAGAACTGCAACTTCCAGAATCCCCCACAGCCTGTGATGGAGGCTTTGGGGAATTGTAGGTGGAAAAAAAACCATTGAGAACCATAGTTGCCCAGCCCTGGATTAAGCTAAAGGATCAGAATTATCTGGAATACCAGATTGAAGCTAAAAGGAACAACTTCAAAATTCCTGGAAGGTGTTTTTCGCGGTATTTCTTGCAGTTTAATGTCTCCACTAATGGTACTGAAGAATGATGTCTAGGATTTTAGGCATCAACTGCCCAGAGTAGACATGTTCTTGATGGGCGGTATATAAATCTAACAAATAAATAAAATAAACAAATTAAAAAGTGTGGACAAGCGTCTGAGTGATCCACATTTACTGCTTAGATTAGCTGTTGCTTTCATTGGGTATTTTCTAACTGAATGTAAATCCAACACAATCATCACAGGCATCCCCCTTCCCTCAGCCTCCACTCAACAACTTTATCGTAATGGTAGACTCACGTGGCATGATTGATTTGAAAAAAAATATGGGAAGTTGAAAATCATTTAATAATACACTCTGAGAATCCACGATTTTATTTGATGGTTGAGAACAGTTGATCCAAACTTACTCAAGTTTACTGTACTAGACTTGATAGACAAGTATATTGTTGCAAATACTGTTATCATGTGATTTGGTTCCTTTTCGGGAGAAAGGCAGGATATAAATATTTAAAATAAGTAAAATAAATAAATATGCTGCCATGTACTAAATTTCAACTTGAGTTGGCCCATTGAATCAATGGGGTTTTGGTGAGTCAGCTCCTCTATACGTTCCATTGATTCAATGGTCTAATGTGAGTTGTAACTTTCTATGCTAAGCAACACGATTTCAGACAATGGTTAATAAAATAAAATAGAATAGAATAGAATAAAGAAATTTGTGACCTCATTCCAACTTGTACTTGCTATGGGAAGAAAATTTGGTTTCACGGTTAAAATATAACAAATAATAATTGAACAAATCTGATCAGCACTTCTATTATGGCAGCATATTTATTTATTTTAAGCAACAAGTTTTCAGCCATTGTGGGACAGCACAATGCTTAATAAGTAAGTTAAGCTGTAAACAAGCATTGCAGCAGTGTAAATTTGAGCCTATTTTTAAAATGAACAAAGTGTGACACTATATTCATTGCCCCACACTGACTCCATAGTTTAATTTGAATAAATATGTATAAAAGCTTACATTTATATTAATCACGAGTGATATATCTACATGATATAAAGGAGTACAGCAGCTTAAACCCGGCTCATGACCTGGGTTTAATTCCAGGTAGCTGGCTCAAGGTTCATTCAGCCTTCCACCTTTCCGAGGTGTGTAAACTGAGTGCCCAGCTTGCTGGGGAGGCAATATGTAGGACGCATAATTAAATTGTAAACTGCCCAGAGTGAGTTTTAAGCAGCACACTTTGCTTTATAAACTGGTTGAAATCCTGTTTGTTGTTGTTGTTGTTGTTGTTGTTGTTGTTGTTGTTGTTGTTGTACATGTATAGAGGTGAAAAGTATGACGTGCTGTCTTTCCTGGCTGAGGATTCAAGAATCCAAGGTGGGATTCTTGAGCACACACAAAGCCAGCAGGAACACATGCCGTTTGGGATCCCAGCAGTGACTTGTTAATTGCTAACTGGGAAGGACCAAATGTTATATTTTTTGCTTTCAATGTGTGAAACAAAGCAATAGGATTTCAGCCACTGAGTTACAGCATTTTATATGATATCCCTGTGCACAGATACTGATGTTCTGTGAAATATTGTTGTTGTTTAGTTGTTAAGTCATGTCCAACTCTTTGTGACCCCATGGACCAGAGCACTCCAGGCCCTCCTGTCTTCCACTGCCTCCCAGAGTTTAGTCAAATTCATGTTGGTATCTTTGATGATACTGTCCAATTACTGTATCTCATCCTCTGTCGTTCCCTTCTCCTCTTATCTTCACAGTTTCCAACATCAGGATCTTTTCCAGGGAGTCTTCTCTTCTCATGAGATGTCCAAAGTGTTGGCGCCTCAGCTTCAGGACCTCTCCTTTCAGTGAGCACTCAGGGTTGATTTCCTTTGGAAATTCTTGCCATCTCTTCTTGATGTCTTCTGCTTCTGTTAGGTCCCTATCATTTAAGAAGGCCCTCTCATCTCTGCTTACTATTCTTTGGAAGTCTATTCAATTTTCTGTAACTTTCCCTATTTCCCCTGCATTTTGTTTCTCTTCTATTCTCTGCTATTTGTAATTCCTCGTTGGTCAGCCACTTTGCTTTCTGGCATTCCTTTTCTTAGGGATGGTTTTTGTTGCTACCTGGGTTATTGCGCTGGCAGAAACATCAATTTTTTTAAAAAAAGATCTTCACAGTTTCCAACATCAGGGTCTTTTCCAAAGAGTCTTCTCTTCTCATGAGATGTCCAAAGTGTTGGAGCCTCAGCTTCAGGACCTCTCCTTCCAGTGAGCACTCAGGGTTGATTTCCTTTGGAAATTCTTGCCATCTCTTCTTGATGTCTTCTGCTTCTGTTAGGTCCCTATCATTTAAGAAGGCCCTCTCATCTCTCCTTACTATTCTTTGGAAGTCTGCATTCAATTTTCTGTAGCTTTCCCTATCTCCCTTGCATTTTGCATCCCTTCTCTTCTCTGCTATTTCTAAGGCCTCGTTGGACAGCCACTTTGCTTTCTTGCATTTCCTTTTCTTTGGGATGGTTTTTGTTGCTACCTCCTGTACAATGTTACGGGCCTCCATCCATAGTTCTTCAGATGCTCTGTCCACCAAATCGAGTTCCTTAAATCTGTTCTTCACTTCCACTGTGTATTCATAAGGGATTTGGTTTAGATTATACCTGACTAGCCCAGTGGTTTTTCCTACTTTCTTCAGTTTAAGCTTGAGTTTTGCTATAAGAAGCTGATGATCAGAGCCACAAACAGATCCAGGTCTGATTTCAGTATTGCCCATCTGGTGATGTCCATGTCTAGCGTCGCCTCTTGTGTTGTTGGAAAAGAGTGTTTGTGATGACCAGCTTGTTCTCTTGACAAAACTCTATTAGCCTTTGCCCTGCTTCATTTTGAACTCCAAGGCCAAACTTACCTGTTTTCCCTTTTATTTCTTGACTAACTACTTTAGCATTCCAATCCCCTATAATGAGAACATCTTTCTTTGGTGTCAGTTCTAGAAGGTCTTGTAAGTCTTCATAGAACTGGTCAAATTTAGCCTCTTCAGCATGGGTGGTTGGTGCATAAAATTGGATTACAGTGGACCCTCGACTTACAGACTACTAGACTTACAGGCTTTTCGAATTACAGACTTCTCTGGCAGCAAATTTTAGGTTGGACTTGCAGCCGGAGAATCAACCTACAGACCAGAAAAAAAACAAATGGAACAAAAATGGAACAAAAATGGCCAGTTACGGGATTAATCGGTTTTCAATGCATTGTAGGTCAACGGAGACTCGACCTACAGACTTTTCCACCTGCAGCCACCATTCCAATACGGATTAATTCCGTAAGTAGAGGGTCCACTGTACTGTGTTGTTGAAAGGTCTGTCTGATATTCGTATTGAAATCATTCTATCATATTTGAAATTGTATCCCAATACAGCTTTTCTGACTCTTTGGTTGACTATGAGGGCTACTCCATTTCTTCTACGGGATTCTTGCCCACAATAGTAGATATGATAACCATCTGAATTGAATTCACCCATTTCCGTCCATTTTAGTTCACTGACACCCAGGATGTCAATGTTTATTCTTGCCATCTCCAATTTGACCATATCCAGCTTAGATCTCACCTTCCAGGTTCCTGTGCAGTATTTTTCATTGCAGTATCAGACTTTCCTTTCACTTCCAGGTCCACCCACAGCTGAGCATCCTTTCGGCTTTGGCCCAACCACTTCATTAGCTCTATATACTGGAGTGGCTTGCAAATTCCTGCTTTAGGTGGACCGTGTTTAGTCAGAACTCTCCACTATTATCTGTTCGTCTTGGGTGTCCCTGCAGGCATAGCCCATAGCTTCTCTGAATTATTCAAGCCCCTTCGCCATGACAAGGTAGCAATCTGTGAAGGGGGAAATATTTATGGGGATCAGCAAAATTGTCTGCTTTGTAGCACTTATATGATATAATTAAAATAGCTATTTTGATGTAGGCAGGCTGATAGTATGAGAATTTTTATGTTTTGCGTATACTAACTGTCTTACTATTTTGTTCTTTTTCTGTTTTGTTTTTACAGAAATGTATTAGATTTAATCCTGAAGCTACGGTATGGGTAGCAAAACAGCGAATTCTTTGCACGTTGAATCAAAGTTTGAAAGATGTTCTCAATTATGGCTTGTTCCAGCCTGCAAACAATGGGAAAGATGGGAAGTTTCTGGATGAGGAGCGACTTCTTATGGAATATCCACAGCCTGTAAACAAGGGTGTCCCATCCTTAGAGGTACTTTAAAGAACAATCTTTTCAAGTTTGGGAACCAGAAAATGTGTGATATTATGGAGTGCAAATAGCAGTAGATGAAAAAACATCCCACGGCTTGTGAGTTACAAGATCTTTTCAAGTGACTGCAAGCTATAATGAGGACATCGGAAAAAGAGAGTTTGGTCAAACTTATTTCTGAGAACTGTTTCTTATGTGATTCACAATTAAATAGTTCCAATTCCATTTGCAGATGACAAGCCAAGTATTACTTTAGGGTCTTCTCGCTGTGGTTTTGGGGACAAGTATTTAGAGCAAGGAGGGGCAGTTGGATCCTTCAGATGTGTTAAAATTGCAACTTCCCAAATTCCTCACAGCCTGTGATGGAGGCTTTTGGGAGTTGTAGGCCGAACACACAAACACGCAAACAAACAAAACCCAGGCCCAAAACAGATAATAATATTTTAATATTTAAAATAGTAAAATTTAAAAAAATAGAAATTATAAATTCAAAAAGCATTTCTTAGCTTCTAAATATATTACTACACACAGAGAGAATAATTTTAAATGTTCATCCCAGCCAAAGCAATTAAAATCTATGTAAAATCCATGTTGCTTGTTGTTGCCAGCATCTGGAAACAAAACCTGCTGCTTGTTGCCAAAACCTGCTGTTGTGCTGCTACATCTTCTTTGATGTCTAGTGCCCAAAAAGGCATGGAGTTGTGATGAATTTTTGGATGATTGCTGATTGTGATGTGTAGCTATTTTAAGTGCTTACCAATTGTTTTCGTTTTCTTTTTACTACAAAAATATTCTTACCAGCTCACTTGGGTCATCTGATAATAAGAAATTACTTTATGAGCTACCATAATGTAATATCTCATAGACTTCACTCTTATCAAAAATATTCTTACCAGCTCACTTTGGTCATCTGACCATTATGAGCTACCATAATGTAATATCTCACAGACTTCACTCTTACTTCATTTCCTGGGTGAGGAAAATTTGTGTTGATAAAAATTTATCCTTTCTAACTTTTGATTTTTTTTTAGCTGGCACCACCAATGTTTCAGAAATAACTAGGCTACATAAATTCTACTTCTCATGAACTGACATTCTGTAAAAGATGGCACTATAAGGTTATACAATTTCTCATTCATTCACAACATTCGTTTACTATAATTTTATATAGGTTTATGAATTATAACCAAAATATTCATTCAGTTATCAAGACTGTTTATAATTTATTGACTTTGCTCTGCCAGAGCTGGCTCATTGATTTGGAAAATGGTGGATTATTTGGAAAACAAAATTCAAACAGCGAATTTCCCTCTTAAAGCACTTTTTTCCTGTACCCCCATAGCCATTCTATTATTTTTCTAACCCTTGGAAAATGGTGGATTATTTGGAAAACAACAAAGTTCAAACTGCGAATTTCCCTCTTAAAGCGCTTTTTTCCTATACCCCCATAGCCGTTCAATTTTTTTTCTAACCCTCTTAAACACATAAAGTTTCAAACCTTGATACTAATGTACTTTTTAGCTTGGGGAGAGTGTTGAAGTCACTTAATCTGTCTTCTTCATACTGTGCATCAAGATTTTGTGGAAAGTGCTGAACAAAGTTCAAACTGCGAATTTCCCTCTTAAAGCGCTTTTTTCCTATACCCCCATAGCCGTTCAATTTTTTTTCTAACCCTCTTAAACACATAAAGTTTCAAACCTTGATACTAATGTACTTTTTAGCTTGGGGAGAGTGTTGAAGTCACTTAATCTGTCTTCTTCATACTGTGCATCAAGATTTTGTGGAAAGTGCTGAAAAAAACACACCACACAAGAGCCCCCAAAAGTCATGGCAGATGATTGTACCAAATCTGCAGATGCCATTGGGAGTGTGGTTGCAAACTCCACATCAGGTAGCAGTTGACTAGATTTATTTTCCTCTTCAGACTTTTCTGGATTCTTTTTGCCTTCAGAATTGGAAGGAGAAATCCAGACACCTGCTATCTGGAGTACAGTTTGAAACCACACAGCCTGAGGAAGATGGAATAATGTTGAAAACTAATTATTTGTTTGAATTTTTAGTGATATAATCAAGCTATCACCTGCTCTTGCACTCATCCTATAGTTAAGATTGATTGATGCCGTACCACTGGGGACTCCTGTACCTAAAAACTGAAATCAGATTAAAAATGAAAGCAGACGAGCATTTTTCCAGTGTATATGAGCTGAGATCCTGCTGAGTGATGAAGGAACATAATTATTTAATTCTTTAAAAATATTTGTATAATGTACTGTTTTTAGCTTTTAATATTGTGTTTCTAATGCTGTAAGATGCTTTGGATCCTTTTTAAGGAGAAAGGTGAGGAAAAATATTTTAAATAAATAAATAAAATAAAAATAATGTTCTGCTAGTAAATAATGCAAGATTTCTGGGTTGCTGCAGGGCAAATTGAAACTGCCAGTGTAATCACTCAGCTTCCATCTTACAAGTAGATAGTAGATGATTCCTTATGTGAACTAAAAGGAAAATGAAATGGATCAGTGCTTGAAAATAGTTTCACTGAACAAGATCCCAGTCATGATGGTGAATGCCATGGTTTTCATTCCAAAAAAGAACCAAATGCAAACCATTCTTTCATGTGATTATACCTTAAGCACTCTGTTATTTTAATGTCTTTGTGATTATGTGAACTGATCCTGAAAGCATTTTATGATTTTCCAGTTGCTTTTACCAGAAATAATTGCCATGAAATTATTCTGGAGTAAATAATATTTCTTGCTTTTCAGTTCCGATACAAGAAGAGAGTATACAGACAATCAAATCTTGATGAAAAGCAGCTAGCTAAGCTCCATACCAAGGTATGTCAATGTGTAGAGCAGAAAACAGAATCTTTTCATTTTGTTGAGCTATGATTAAAAGAATTGGTCTAAAATCTAAAACAGTGCTAGCAGAGTGAAAAATCTCTGCTAGTGCACTTGTTCTGGATTACACTGTTACACAAATGGTTGTGCAAACAATTGGGCAAGAAGTTGTGCAAGTGATAGTATTTGTGCTAGTATCCTGGCCCTAACCTTTAAAATGTCCAATCATTGGAAACATGCCTTGAAAGAAATTACAATGTAAAGTGAAAGATTGATGCTGGTACATTCTGTTCCTGTGCACATTTATTTGTTTAGGTAGTTGATCCAAACAGATAAAGCAGCTAGCATTAATATATCCAAGGAGTACCTAAATGTTCTGATAGGACCTTTTGTCAGGATTTGGCGACAGGAAAATACACTTACAACTGAAGACACTTACAAGTTCTTCTTCTTTAGCAAGACGGGTGTATTTACAATATTTACAAGTATATACAGGCTGGCACCACATCAGCATGGCAGGAAATCATTAAACAAACCGGCATACACCTTTTCCCTACTATTGTCTTATTGGACAATATTTTTCCATTGGACTGTAGCTGGAGAGAGATTGTGGATAGGCTTTAGGTTCTTATATGCTGCCCAGACCAGGGTGATAACTGAAAATTCCAGAAGAAGAAAATCTGGAGTTGGTATGAGACCACTACACTCATTTATCACTGATTCTTTCCTTTTTTGTCTTTTCTTTCCCATCTTGAAGCATTGTATATTTAATATAATAACTCTCATTTTTTATTATTTTTTGTTATATTACGTGTCTGTAAGCCACCTAGAGTGGTCACAATAACCAGATAGGCGGGATATAAATAGTTGTCACCACAATTTTGGGTACCAAAATTTCTGAGAAATTTTCCTGGAACTAAAGTGTGTATTTCATGACAATAATATTTGGTGTTATGATCCTTTTCAGGCAAATTTTCGGAAATTTATGGACCATGTTCATCACCTCACTGTTGAGAAAATAGCAAAGATGCTTGATCGAGGACTGGATCCTAATTTCCATGATTTAGAGAGTGGAGGTATGAAACAGATAAATCTGCTGGCAGAAAATATACAGTATTGCATGAATTATAATCTATTATACAGTATGCTTGTGTAAGATGCCCATAATAAAATGCTATCAAGTAAATAAATAAAAGAGCAAATCCAAAATTATTATTTCTTCTCTTTTCTTGTATGCTTTAGAAACTCCATTGACTTTGGCAGCTCAGCTTAGCAATTCTGTGGAAGTGATCAAAGCTCTGAAAAATGGAGGAGCCCATTTAGATTTTAGAGCCAAAGATGGTATGACAGCATTACATAAAGCAGCTAGAGCAAAGAACCAACTAACTCTGAAGGTAAATTCTTTCAAAGTCATTTTATATATTGTTTTATGTAGAAAAATGATTGAAGGAAAATGCTTCAGGTTAGCTACCACCTTCTTAATGTATATTTTAATCTGCATTTGTTCAAGAGTTTCAGTCTTTGGCTTTTGGCTTTCATTTGCTTTCAACCAATACTTCATTTTAATGGAAATTAAAAGGGTGGTGAAACATTATCTTGTTAAGTGATAGACAATGCAATATTTGCAGGAAAAATCAGTGCACAACAACTGGTCATCAGAATTGACAGTGAACCTGAACTCCTGTCAGTTACCATGTAACTGTTAAGTGTTCTTTGTTATCTTTGCTCCTTCAGATTTAGTGTTTTATCCATTTCTTTCACTTGTCAGATCTTGAAACATGTAGTCATGTAGAGTCATGTTGCCACAGACAACTGAAAAGATCAAGGGGTGGTTGCCTCTACAGTATATTAATAAGAAACAAGAGCTTGTTGGGTGTTAACTACTTCTTAAACAACAATAAAATCCTTCACATTGTCTGTGACTCTGTCCTTTATTTATAGTGCTTATCCACTTTCTGCTCTCAAAGTAATTTGTAGTTGATTAAAGTTATTAAAGTAGGTTTAGGTTAATAACTGATATTTTCAAATTTAGTCCATATAAAAGATTCACAATTAACACAATTAAAAACAAATCACCACAGAGTAATCCAAAAACAAAAAAGTGACAATTTGTAACAAAATGCATTTTGAATTGAATGTATGTTCCCCTTTCACATGTCCTGATTTTATTAGAATTTACTTGCAAATACAGTAAATGAACTTACAATTGCAGTTTGACACTATAATGCTAAACATATTTATTTGAGTGACAATTTGTAACAAAAGACAGTTGAATGCATTTTCCCCTTTCACATGTCCTTATTTTATTAGAATTTACTTGCAAATACAATAAATGCACTTACGATTGCAGTCTGACACTATAATGCTAAACATATTTATTTGGAAATAAATCTTGCAGTTTTCAGTTCAACATACATCCAACTAAGTTGTCGTATGGGTCATTCCTTTGCATATTTATTGACTTCAAAGTATAGTATGTGTTCAGTGGGATTTACTCTCAAGTAGAGATGGGGGTATTTGTATTCATATACAATACAAATATTTCCCCCCACAGGTGCAGATAATGAGGGTCCGGCTCCCTGGGGCGAGACCGACCACTCACAATTTTGCTGCTGCTACGAGCGCCACAGAGGCTTCCTATCTTGCCATTGCTCACACTGGATTAGCCACTCTTTGACCTGGCAGAGAGGCTCCTACCTTCTGCCAGGAGTAGCTAATCTATTGTAAGCAATGGCGAGATAGGAAGCCTCTGTGGCCGGACCCTCATTATCTGCACCTGTGGGGGGATATTTGTATTCGTATACAAATATGAATACCCCCATCTCTACTCTCAAGCAAGTCTACATAGGAATGTAGCCTTACTGCGCCTCTTAGCACTATATACTTCAAAAGTAAGAAACAGCCTTCACCAATTTCATGCCCTCTATATGTGCTTAAATATAACTCCTATGATTAAAACTGTATATGGCCAGTGCATTGCTGCCTGGGAGTGATGGGAATTGTAGTCCAACGCATTGGGAGGTCTTCATCTTGGGAAAACAAATATAGATAATCTGTGTTTAATAAGGTTAGAGACTCACATGATCTTTAAAACTTATAATTATTTGCAGACCCTCTTAGAGCTTGGAGCATCTCCCAACTACAAAGACAGCTGTGGCTTGACACCACTGTATCATACTGCTGTAGTTGGAGGGGATCCATATTGTTGTGAATTGTTACTTCATGAACATGCTACTGTTGGTTGCAAAGATGAAAACGGATGGCAAGAGATTCACCAGGTAAGAAAGGTGCCTTCACAAAAGAAAGTTCAGATCTAACAATCTGTGTTATTAAGCACTATTACGGGGGCAAGAATTCTGGGCGTTGATTAAAGTGATCAGATTTCTGTTGGGTTCAGCTGGCATAGTAATGGAGATTACCTTGCTGGGCAGGTGTCACTGTTACTCAGAGATCTTGTTCTAAAGAGCTAATTTATGCATGTACAAAGAGATCCTTGCACAAGACATGTAAAAGTCAAACTGATCACACTACTGCTATTGCTGAAGCTATTTAAGCCTTAACAGGACCCTGCCCATTGTGGCTGTTGAATTAATATTTAAAAGCTGGTTTTAATAAAGGATGGATATGAAACAATAGAAGGCCTTATTATTTTTGTTGCTACAGGCACAGGATCTCCACTAATTCTTATTGTATCTTCAGTCCTCTAGCTTGTACTGTCATAATTCGGTAGCAGAAAACGATTTCAATTATAATGCTAAAAATGCTTATCTTGTTCTGTACTTTATTTTCCTTCGTGTTTTAAAAAAGGCTGATTTTGAGTATTTGTGAGCATATTCGTGGTATTTCAGTGTTCCTTTCGTGGCCGTTTTCTTCCTTCTTTGCCCTTGTTGCTGTTATCAGTCCCATCTGACCACCAAGACTTCCTTTAAAGAAGAAGGAAAGTGGTGCCAAGAAGCAGCAGTTGCTGCCAACAAAGAAAAAGTGGCAAAACACGGTTGAACCAACACAAATGTGTGGTGAAGAGAAGCTTTTCCACTGAACCAAATATTAGCCTTTCAGATAAATGTTGAAATGCTGGGTCTAGTTTAAAACCCTTTGTTTTTTTTTTTAAATGGCTCATTTGCATTTCCTGCAAATAAATCAGAATTATGTGAGAATAATTTTTTAAATCCCCAAATCTCATTTATATGGATAATGTGATAAAAGTATATTATAGGAAATGGTGTATTATAATTGATGGGATAACATATAGTTCCTGACACATACCAGATGCTGCTTTCATTTCCTGTGCTTCAGTGGATTAAGACTTTAGTACTTTTTTTACCCATCCTTGAATATGAACCCTTATGTCATGTGCATCTTCTTTTTTGTAAATGAGTCTCTAACACACTGTTACAGCTAAATATGCTTCAATATTTAGTAAGGGGGAACATCTGTTCTGGCAGGTTAGAATAACAGAGATTTGTGGATCTTATCTCATCTCAGTGCTTCTGGTGCCCTCTTGAGCTATGGAGTTGAATAACTCAACAGACAATGCTGAAATGTGATGAGCTGCATAATTATGGGTGTGTCTTTGCTGCTTCCAGCATTTGAAAATACTATTAGTCTGTGAAATAATAAATAGCTATTTGTTTATTTATTCAAATATTTCTAAGCCACCTTGAATCAGCAAACCTCAGAGTACAGTACAATCAGTGAAGTCATTGTGAAAACAAACTAAAATGGTCTAAAATATCGTATACATGTTTTTAGAATTTCAAACATTTAACTCAAAATAAAGCCATCAGTTTGACAGACAAAATGTTGATCCTTACTCTTGATAGCTCTCACAAAATACTTGGGTGAACATAACACATTTTAAATTAATTTTTTTCTTCATTTTCAATGGGAATAAGAATTGGGATGGAGTACAGGGGGCATGGAGAAATAGGTAATGATCAGGAAGGGATAAAATTCCAGAGAGCAAAAGAGTATTCTTACATCTATTTACACAATTATGCTAAAAAGGAAGATCACAAAGAGAAACAATTTATCAATTTTTTCCAGAGTATCTATAGTTACTAATCTCTCCATTCCCTTGGACTATCACATTCTTCTTTTATCTATACTTTCCAATCTATATTTTGAATCCAATTATAAAATTGTTCCCAGTTTTTGAGTCTTACTACATCCATCTCTGCCACTTCCAGTATCTTTTCTATCAACTCAAGACGCGGGGCTTCTTCTTTCTTCCAGTGTTTCCCATATATATCCTTGCTGCAGTTGCTACCTGTATTATCAAATATCTCACTTTTTAATCTACAATTTCAGGTATAATAGTCAATAAAAACAATTCCGGTTTAAATGGTAACAATTCCAGTTTAAATGGTATCACATAAGATATAATTTTTGGTAACATTTCATGTACTGATCTCCCAATAATTTTTTGCTTCCCTACATGTCCACCAGATGTGACAAAAAGTATCTTCCGATATTTTACATTTCTAACATTTGTTGAAGATAATTTCATACATTTTAGACAGTTTAGCTGGAGTCATATACCATCTATAAACCATATTATATATTTTCTTTAAAATTCACTGATTTTTGTAAGTTTAATGTTATTCTGCCAAATTTGTGCCCACTGTTCTAAATTAGTATAATGACAAATGTTTTGTGCACATTTTATCATACAAGTTTTCACCACTTCATCTTCCATTTTCATATTTAGGAGATATTTGTACATTCTTTGAATTATTTTATCACTTCTCCCTAACAGTAGTTTATCAAATGCCGTTTGTTCTTCATAAAAGCCCACTATTTTATTTTTTATATACCTAGAATCTTGTTGTAATCTTGTCCACCAATATAGAAAGGCTTTCTGGTCCTCTAGCTCAGACCTGGGCAAAGTGCAACCCGAGGGCTTTAACCACCTCAGTACATTCGCGCGCATACGTTGAGCCAGTGGGTGTGGATGTGTCCCAGGTTTCCACTTCAGTTCTCTAAACCTCTTCCTGTACGCCTCCTTAGTCAGATTCAACGTACACAAAATAGCTGTCTTTACCACCTCATATTTTGCCGCGTCCTCAGGGCTCAAGGTATCAACCACCTCCTGCAAAAGCCTAGTCAGGCAGGGAACCAATATCAGCGTTAATTGCTCCCTTGGCCATCCGGCCGCCAGGGCCACCCTCTCAAACGTATGCAAATAAGCCTCTGGGTCATCCGTGGCACTCATCTTCTGTATCTTAAGGGGTGCCGGTCCCACCACCAGTCCTCCTCTACTCCACACCATTGGTCTCAGCCCCCTTTCTTCCTTGCCATCTTGCCTTCTCATTTGTCGCGCCATCATAGTCTGTTGCTCAGTTAGGTTCTCAATCATTCTCGCTTAGCGTTCAATAACTTCTTGTAACTTGGTCAGTTCCTCCCTTCCAACGCTAGAGGTAGTCCCATGTTGGTCACCACTGTGAATGGGTTCGTTGGTTGCGGAGTGCGACCCCTGTCTTGGCGCCGGAATGAGAGTCGGAGGCTGATCCACATTTTTAACACAACCGGATTTATTCATAAACAAATTTAATTCCATGGGCTCAAACGGGTCCATCAAACTTAACTCAGGCAACGGATGATAATGCCGCACCTTAACTTCCGGTGTTAATCTATTGGTCCTCACAAAGGGGCCGGACCAAACCACTCCCTGTCGGCCATGGGCCTCTGAGGAGTGCTCCTTACTGCGCACACCTTCCCACAGCAAGTGTGCCTCGCCCAGTCTCCCTCTCGCTGGGGTTGGAGTAAAGAGGGACTGGGACAGATCACCCTCCTCTCCCCACACTGGTTGTGTGGGTATACCACCACTGTCCATTCTAGAGACTCTAATTCACCTTCTCCCACGCGCAAGTCCTTTGGGTCAGGCAAGAGCCCTCCACCAACTTGTAGATTTGGGAACTTGCACATCAGCGTAGCAAAATCGTCCTGTCCCGCGCTTCAGTCGGTTTGCACAGCACGATCCTTTTTGTCAGGGTGGGTGCCCGTTAAGATCTTGAATGTTCGTGCCTCTTCTCCCTCCTTTATATCCTCCCACACAATTAAGTCTAGCTCCTCCCCTTTCTCATCAGCTAGACACACTTCCAGCCTTTCCTACTCTATTCCCGGCTTCTATATCCACCGGCACACCTTAAACACACACCCTCCTACCACATTTGGTTGTGAGGAGGACAGTGCACTCTCTCCTTCACCTTCACAGATGACATAATTATTTTATTTGCTTCAGTCATTCACTACCATTCTTCAGCCTCCTTTCTGCAGAACTCTGAAAGTACAATCACCAGGATTCTATTGGTATTTTTGTAAGGTTTGTGTAACTTGCTGTGGCTAATTATGGCTAATATACAATATGCCAGGCCCATCTTAAGTTGTGTAGACAGGCTTGTGACTCGGCAGACAATTGTGATGTGCCCTTGTGCTTTATTAGTTGTCCATAATTCACTGAGGCAGGTTACTGGCCATTTGCAAACACCAAATGGTTTCTGGCTAAAAACATGCAAACAGGCCACAGGGGATATTTACAATCCTGCTCTAAAATAACCCATGCTGTCATCTAAAAGAAGTGGGCATATAAAGGAGGAAAAGAGCAGCAGAAGCTGAAGCTCTTCTGCTACCCGAAGCAAGAATCAAGATGCCCACCCCGCATTATTTCTCCGTGTGTGTACATGCATATGTGCACAGGTACATTTTCTGCTGGAGAGAAAGCCATTCTCCACACCCTACTATAGGAGGAAGCAGCAATACACCAACAGCGAATTCAGCAACTAGGCCTATATGGAATGTGAATGTGAGTTCCTTGTCCCAGATGCTAGAGGAAGTGGTAGCAGGGTCCATATATCTATCACCAAAAGCTGCTTCTGTATAGATAACATATATAAATCTATGCCTGGCTTAGGGGTGGTCGTTAAGAACAAGACACTATGGGAGCAGTGATCAGTCGGATTACCAAAGGTTTATTACAGGCCATTACCCAGGACACCCTCACAGTGTCTTGACTTCAAGGAGCTCTTCAGAGCCAGATACTAATAAAATGCCAGCTATGTAGAATAATGGTCTTTGCCAACAGGTTGAGAAAGCTATCTCTGCTTCCCTAATGGCATTAGAGGTGGAGTACCTAGAACCTGATTATGGGACCACTTACTCTCCAGAAAAACTGAGATCTAAAAAATCATAGAAGATGACGGTATTGCATATCCCAGGAAAGGAAGTAAAAACAGAACAGAAGCAACAGCATGGCAGGGGATGTCATCACTGGAGATTGCCTCCACCTGATTTACTGCCAAATTGTGGAAGTCTAGGTCCCAGTGGATGGCCTCTACTGTGTGTTTTTTTAAGCTGCAAACTAGTCACAGGTATGCTGTGATTCCTTACGTCTTTAGGTCAGAAATGAACTCTGTATGTGGTGCTGGGAAAAAACATTTTAGTTCTGTTTGTGTGGTAGCTGTAAAGTCTGGGCACCCCTCTCTGCCCCTTCTAGTCTGGCATGAGGTATCACTGATTCAGCATGAAGGTATTTGTATGTTGTTTGCATTTTACTCCAAATTTAAGTGTGAGGAGAGGAGCTTAGAATGTGAATTGCAGGCAGCATCCACTTTGGGTCACTTGTGCTGTCTGTCGCAAGGCAGGGAATGGAGATCCCAAAAAAGCTGTGGCAGCAGTGGTGCAGGGCTCAGCCTGTTGCAAGGCAGGGAATGGAGATCCCAAAATGTACCTCATTGCACAAGCTGTGGCAGCAGTGGTGCAGGGCTCAGTTAAAAAAACTGCAGGCTGGTGGTAAACCTTCCAGAAACGTCAGCAACAGGGTAGTGCCTTGAACCTTTATCCCCACACATCAAAATGTTTTTTCCCTTCCTGGCTCTGGATTGCAATGTTGCCTGATTACAAGACTGATTTACACTTTGTGTCCATTTTCACAGTTGATTAACCTTCAGCCGGTTCAGCACCTTCCCTCCAACCCTTGCCTGCCCTCCCACTTACGGTAACATTACAAGGGACTCTTTTAACCTGCTATGAAATTTTGGAATGGACATTAAGTGGAAGTTATGCACTGGGCCTGCTCATCACTTCAACCAGGATAGGTCTTAAGTTTATCTTAAGGAAACCTGAGTACAGGGAACTCCTTTTATTTGACTAATCATGGAATTTCTTCAGTTCTATGCTGCTTTCTGGTTATAAATTCAGCCACCATGAAGGTTGCAGCTAAACCCGGGGGAACATGGAAGCTTGTGGGGTGGTGGCGGCAATGGCAGATGATATTACTGTTCCTGCTAAGCTAAACATCCTGACGCTCTAACCCTGTTAACTTTGGCTCTGCTCCACTGCTGCGTTTCAAGCCATCTAACATACTAAATACAGTTTATGAACATATTTAAACCTTGAAATCTCAACATCAGGTGAGCAGCAGATGTCCCCTTGTTTTCCCAGTTTTCCATTTTTCTACCACTCAGTTTTATCAAAGCTGTAACAACAACAATTCTGTTCCCAGAACTTTGCAGGGAGTGTAATTTAAAGCAATTATATACCCAATGCACTGTACTCTTTTTAAAAATAAAGAGAAGACTGTATTGATCCAGAAATCGATTTTGGATTTTATTGGGGGATATGGTGCAGCCCATGGTGACAAAACAGGCCCCTGTACCTCTTGAACTTGCCTGTTCTGGCACATAAGTTGTCCAATTGCATTTCAATCCACTACAGCTACTAATGTTTATCCTTATGATATTTCTTCATTGCTCTACCTAACCCTGTATAAGAGTTGTTACTCTTGGGCACAATGCTGACCTCAAACCAGAACAGAGTAGTACTGTTGCTGATGCAGTATGGATCTGTAAGGTTCTTAAGTACATTTCTGTATGAAGGAGCCATGAACCTTCACTTACTTCTGCGTACATGCCTATACGCTTACACTTTGTCAGGAATGTTTATACTTGTTAAACTTAATACATTGATTCATAATGTTCTATTCAAAAGGCTCTGTGTGCACTTTACTACCTTTGCATTGAGAAATATCACAGAGGTTCAAAAGCAGTCTTATGTGGTGGTAACTGGAGACAAATCAGGTTGGCTTACAAGAATGTAGGCTAACGGAGTGGTGCAGGCTCAGGAAGAACAAAGTCATCATTCAGAGCAGTGGAAACCAAGCCCATTTTCTTTTATCAGTTGTAGAAGGCATAAATAGTCTTCTCACAATGAAGAAGCCATCAGTCACAACTTGGTTTTTATTAAAACCATGTTTATTTATTCATAACTCTGCAGAAAAGACAGGAAGCTTTCCTATATTCATTTTATGTAATGATGAATAGCAAACAATGGGCTATACTCAGCCATTACAAGCAACCTTAATTCCACTCTGTTTATTTAAATAAGTGGTATTTTAACCAGAGGGCTAGAAGAAATTCAGGACAGTCTTCTCTTTATTTTCAAAAATAGCAGTTCCCTAAGCTCCAATTGATCTTTGTTTTCTTAAAGCAAACAATAGTTTGACTGTTCCACAAGTACAGCAAATTTTTGAATGGTACTACATAAATATCTCAATAAAACAACTTGCTAGCTGACCAGCACACCAAAGGATGGCAGTGGGGGCATTTGCTAAAAGAAAAATGCTAGAGTGCTCCTTAGCTGCTCCTCAAGGCAATCGCATATAATTGTTGCAACCATGCAATAGAAGTGATACAAATCCCATATTTGTGGACCAGGCTCAGGGGTTCCAACCAGATGCAATGTTTATAAAGTTGTTTTTTTTAAAAAAGTTAGACATATTGTTTGTTACTCTTATTGTTACACTTTTTAAAAAGGTGATTCATATTTTTCAAAAGTAACTTAGTGCCTTCCTTTTAAAAAAGCACAGTGTGAATGCTACAAGCTGCTGGCTTGTGATACAAAACACACTTCCATTTAGTTCACCTTGTTGCCACCACAAAACTTCTCATGGAACATATGATGGTGGCTTTAACTACACTTTAACCATGGGGCATTCATCCTCAGCATTTAGTGATGCCACAGTGTAAAAGTAACCAAGAAATAGTTGTATTGACTCCACAGACAGAGCAAAATAAAATGATCCCCCATTCAATGTAGGTACATAGGAAATTGAGTCAGACCTTTAATTAATCTAGCTTTGTAGGGTCAACTCTAACTGGCAGCAGCTCTTCAGCATTTCAGACCCAGAGTCATCATTGGTCAGATGGGCAGTATAGAAATCGACTGACTGACTGTAACTGACTAACTAAATAACTGTTTTATTTTAAATGATGTTAGATATCTTAACATCTGCCTTAAACAGATGGATTCAGATACAGTACTGTATATGATCATTACTGCCATCTGGTGGATTCTATGCCGCAGGTGCATGAGTGGATAAGAATTGCTTCCAACTCTCAATTTGTAGCATATTAACCTACTGTACCCCTACATTTATGTAATATTATTTGTAGTCCTAAATTAGGGATGCATTGGTACATTTCATTTTGAAGATATTAAGTATGTATTTAAGTAGTAATAATCATATTTACAACTTTATTACACAATATTTCTCTTGGATATATGAGGTACTATCATGCACATGCTTAGTCTCTTTTTCAGTTGAGTTGTTCTGCACATTTTATTGTTAATTAAATTTCCATCAATATGTTACTAAGATGACAATGGTGATAATAAATTTAGAGAATACCCTATGTTTTCTGAGAACTACAAGGATTAAAACAGACAGACAGACAAGCAAATAACTCCAGAATAGCTTTTCTGACTCATTTATAAAGAACACAGTACAAATGGAACAGGGGCTATGATTTTTTTTTCTTGTGTTTTGGTGCTATTTTGAAATGTTCAAGCCAAAATTTATTTCAAGAATTAGCATATTTTTTTCTATCTTCTTAGATGTCAAATCTAAGAAAGTTAAAGAGGCTAGCCATTTGATTAGAACCTTAGTAGAAAAGTAACCAGAAGCAATCTATCACATACCAAGTTAACTAGAAAAGCATGTTTGTTTTTGGCATATACATTGTCCTTTGTTTACTGAATGCTTTTGGAAGTTTTGGTGAAGTATGATATAGCTGCTGAAGTAGTTGCCTATTTATTTATACAGAACTTCTAAAAATGGTCCCATGAGAAATGTGATGTGCTATTGTTAAAAATACAGTGAGAGATAACCTCACCGTGGAGACACTATTAAGCAATCATTTGGTTGTAATATATGTATTTCCTTGTTCAAACAGCTGGCTTTCATATTACTGATTATTCATAAGTTCAAGAATGCATTTATATTTGTGATATATAACAGATATATGTAAAAAAGTATTAATTTTACAATTGAGATTATTTTTAAAATATTCTTTATAGGCTTGCCGATATGGACACGTTCAGCACTTAGAACATTTTCTATTTTATGGAGCAGATATGAGCACACAAAACGCATCTGGAAACACAGCACTGCATATCTGTGCACTTTACAATCAGGTTAGTTACTATTGTTGACATTACAATGGAATTTTTAATGGCGAAGGTATGTTATACAGTAATCAAAATTCAAGTTTTATCTTCATCAGTGATTTGATATTAATTATATTTTTAAGATCTTCTACCGTTGGTAATTTCAAGGCAATGTACATGATTTTGTCCCTCTGTTTTATCTTCACAGCAAACCTGTGAAGCAGATTAATCTGAGAGCAAATAGCTGCCCAGGGCCAACTTGTTTTCATGACTGAGTGGCAACCTGTATCTGGGTTTCCTTGTTTCGTAACCAGCACTCTAATAATTGCATCACATTTGTCTATAACAATATTTGTTCTCTTTTCCTTTTTAAAATTTTGTAAAATATTCTAGCTGTAAAATATACTAGTTCTTTGCTATGACTAAACTTATCTAGGATATTTTTGGTTTCTATGATGGGAGAAGATCAAAGCTGGAAGAAAAATAATGTTCTTCAGGAAAGTAAGATGAGCAGCTAAAGATAAAGGGAGGTTTGTAATAGCTGCAAATATTTATATTTATATATACATATATACAGTATGAGCACACAAAGCAGGGCTTTAAAAATATGCCAGGCAGTGGTGAGGTGGGAAGCACACTGAGCAAGTAACCTAACTGTTGAGGAAGAGTGGCATAAAGAGTCCTAGTCACAGAAAAATAGTAGAGATACAGGTATTAAGGTCTGAAGAAAAGCTGCTGGGCACTAAATGAGGGAAGGTTTATTTTGATGGCAGATCAAGCCTCTCTATTCCATTGTCCATTCTCTCTGTCTGTTAGTATTATGTGCCCCAGTGAGCATGGTGAGTCCTCATTCTATTGTTTCTGTCTTCTACCTTTTTCTAAGGGCTTCCCTACAATGTTTTTTTTGCTCTGCTCCAAACCTTGGCAATACCAAAGGCAAGGAGACCTTGCAAACCTTGAACCATAATTATATTTTCCTCTTGTGCTTCCTCTTGTACTTCCTCTTGTACTTCCTCCCAGAAGTACAAGCTGGATTCCGAAGATAAGGATACATCAATAACATGTTTTCTCTAAGTTATTGTTACTCACTGAAATGTGTGTGGTACAGTCTAATTTACATCTTTCTCATGGCAGCTCACCATACTATCAAAAAAATTTTTAAAGGAGCTAAAGGACAAATATAATACTAAACTGTTTATGCTTGTCAAGTCATTAAAGACTAATACACTCCTAGAGCAGCAAAGGTGTACATTTCATTTCCTAACATAACTTCTTTGCCTGGTATAATACTGTCTGAGCTGTACAATTTTGCTTGTATGTATTATACTTGTAAACACTTTCAAGTGAGAGCTGATTTACAGCTGTGTAGCAGCTGTGCATGTGTATTATAGCAATGTGTGATTCCCATGGAAGAGATCAAATGCAGACCAATACCATGGATGATATTTTTGCAGATCTTTACATACACTTTTTGAATATTTAATGGAACTAACAAATGGAACTAACTAACTAACATGCACTAAGTCCATGTAGTGTTTTAGTGGAAATGCCATTACAGTGGTGCAAAGCTTGTTGCAGCTGATCAGTAACTTCTGTGACCCTCTATAAAGGCCAGGGGAGCAGTATTACAGACATTCTGATCTTCAGAGCATGAACATGTATAAAGAAACTAGAGGAAACACATTTAAGAGTTTTCTTATACAGACATGAGTTTGTATAGAGCAGGACTCAGATGTTGTGCGGTTTTCCAGATGTTGGAACACAATTCCCATTAGTGCTAGCCAGCATAGCCAGTGGGGATGGATTATGGGAACTGCAGTCTAGGAACATCTGTAGAATTAAAGTCTCCCTGGCTGTGATTTAAATGGAGTGTGGATTTTTTTTTTTGGATGTAAATTTGTGGTTGTTTTGATATGATGTCAGAGAAATAAATTCTTAGTTGTGTCTAATCTGGCTGTCTTTGTAGGATTTGTGAGACCCAGTAGGTTTGATATACATGAATAAAGGACGAACAAGGCTTTTGTATATTTTAGCATTTGATTGTTTTACATTTCAGCTTGATAGCTTTGTGATTCCAATGCTGCACTGCATTAGAAATGCACAAATGATGAGGCCTTTATAACTAGTGTAACATCTGTTAAAGCATCTGCTTCTTAATTAATTACTGCCTTACTTGTTAAAAACCATGTCAAAGCAGATATATTTTCTTCTGTTGGCATGTCTAAAATATCTCTTAATTTTGAAAAGAGTGGAATTTAGAATGCATTGTGCCAATATGCTTTTTAAAATGCTAATGCTACAGAAGTGAATCAAAATGGCATTAGTTCTTAAAAAGCTGACCCAGAATTTGCATGTGTAGCACCATAGCATTATTCTGTAAAGAAAGCAAAATAAATGTTTAAATAACCTTTATTTCAGGTATTAGGCTCAGATTTTTCATCAGTCTGTAAGTGATTGGCACAATCTATTCCCATGTATCTGTGTGTAAAGTTAAGTTGCATGATGCCTTCTGCCCTATTTTGGTTTACATACTGGGAGATACAATTTTGTAGAATGCTGGCAGTGGTATCAGTGTGAATTTTATCTTAACTCCAATGAAAATGTATGTTGGTCCAGAATTTAAAAAAATCTATAAGTCACATTTCAGTGTTATCTAGCAAGGGCAATAGCATATATGGTGATCCTGCCACACTTACTAAAATCCAGAATTTGGAAGAAAAAAATTGGATTACAACTGAAAGCTATTGTCCAAAGCAATACTTTTCCAACTTCTGAACAATTCTAAAACTAAACATAAACTTTTTTGAATACCTTGATTATTATTATTATTTTAATTAAAGGAAAAATCTCAGCCCAATATGTGAACCATTCTCTGGTCCCTGTATGGGCCTTTACTGTGCTCCATTCCAACACTATTAAACAGCCTTTTTTTGAAAGAACAATGCCCCTTTTGTTCTCTTAGAAACCAGTATGCATTTAGCACTAAGCGAAATGGGCATTTTACACTAAAGAGCAACTTGGCAGAGATGGACAAATAGTAAGTGGTAGGGTCACTAGCAGGCAGGTCCAGGCCAAAGAAATGGTTCTGTCCCGATGCCGCCCCATAATTACAGTAACAACCTATGAGCACATGTGTATGGCTATACATGCTTTGGAGAATGGCCTTTTCCCCTTCTGTGAACCTTATTAAAATGCTGACCCACACTTGTACTATCCAGGATGAGGTAGGGGTGAGAGGAACTCAGATTGATAGTAACTTTATGGGTATGGACCTTAACGAGGGTTCTTAATAATTAGGTGAATGTTCACACATGCACACACTCGCTCACTTACACACACACTGTCTCACACACAGACAAGAGTCATGCTTAGCAATGTGACATTTGGCTCTAACCAGGCACTAATGATTCCACTACTTTTCAAGATATTGACAATGAATTTATTCCTTTTTTTAGGACAGCTGTGCAAGAGTTTTGTTGTTACGAGGAGCCAACAAGGAGTTAAAGAACTTTAATAGCCAGTCTCCATTTCAGGTAAGCATAAAAACAAAATGCAGTGTTTCTGCGTGTGTCATATATTGGTATTGATGACAACTGTGTATTCATTTGATAGCCATAATTATTCATATGTCAGTAATCCAATGGAGTGGTTCCCAACCTTTTCTGAACTGCTGACTGGTTTAGCATGCAGGGGGGTATGGGGGGCCATGCATGGGTGGGCGGGGCATTTGTGCATGTATATGGGGCCCCCGTGCATCCATGGGCAGGGCGTGTGTGCATCCATGCATGTATGTGTGTGTGGGGGCGTACATGTGCGTGTTCGTGGGGGTGGGTGGGAGATCTGTCTCCACAACCCGGTCCTGCCAAGGCCATAGCCCAATACCAGGCTATGGAGCAGGGGATCTAATGTCTCCACTACTTTAATGTAGGTTTGGTTTTTGGAAATAACTTACTATTTTAGTGCATATTCATAGGAAGTACTATGGAAATAATAAATAGAATCATTCCCCTATTCCACACACAGACAACAAAAATAAGTATAATTACAGTTACAATTTCCCCCCTCTCCAGTTGTTTTGGTTCAGTTGGCACAGAAATCAACCAGCCCAGATCTCCATAATAGGTCATATTATGGATGCCCATGCCAGTTGCTTTCCTTCTGTGGCAGCATTATGGCAGAGAAACAGCTGATCTATGACCCTCCGGAGCTGGCCAGGCCCTAAATGCCTGCTCTGTGGGGTCATCAGAACAAGAAATTGTCAGTGGATTTGAAATGCAGTTATCCCCTTTCTGATGCAGAAAAAAATGTAGAAATATCCGCCCAGTCTCCTTCCTTTCCCTTAAAAAGGGAAATGATCCATCTGGACCCTTCTTGAATAAAGGGAACAAAAAGATTTAACTTATAGGTATTCCCTTGTGTTCTTGCCTTTTATACAATGTGGAGCTACCTCTTCACAGTTCTTTGCTCAGAGAGCAGAAAATGGGGGAAAGATAATGGGCAGGAATGACAGGAAGGAAGGGGTGGTCTCAGGGACTCTGAGGCATGGAACAAAAACACTGCAGTTAAATTGATGGCTGGTTAAAGGACACGCTGTCCACTGATACCCATTATTAAATGAGAAGCATGTGAGATTGTATTTTTCCAACAGGAATTGTAGGTGAGATGCCCTGGGAGATTACTTGTGCTATGGAAAGTGGCTTTGTGGACAGCAGTGCCAATGGTCCATCTCTTCCATTCTCACATGTCTGGAGAGCTTGAGCCATCTTCATTTTAACTTTAGTGAAAGCTGTGATTAGAGGATGAACTTCATTTTTCATGTTCATCTAAAGGCACAATGTTTCAGTCATACAGTGCCTTGAGTCTGAAAGGTGATGAAGTTAACATGCTTGTAGCCTTCGACCCATTACAGGACCTTGTGTTAGTCTTAAAAGGCACCTTTTATCCATCCACATGCTATTACACACAGAGAGATAATTTTTGCTCTGGTTGTTGTTAGTTTTTTGGCTTGTTTGGCCGTGTTCTGGAGGTTTGTTTTCCTAACATTTTGCCAATCTCTGTAGCCGGCATCTTCAGCGGACAGGAGCTAGTACACAGACAGAGTTTTAGCTCCTGTCCTCTGAAGATGCCGGCTACAGAGACTGGCGAAACGTGCACACGCGCAAACACACACACAGACACAGACACAGACACACAGACACGCACACACACACACGGAGGTCCGGCAACCTTCCTCTGAGGGGCCCCCTCAAAAAAAGGCACACTCAGCAGCAGCAGCTACCCCCACCACGACAGAGGAGCAAACTTTGCGAGGCAAGTCCAGGCAGCCTCCAGAACCGAGGCAGCTGAAGCAAGACAAAGAGGAGGAGGAGGAGGAAGCAGCGCCGGGTGCTGAGGCATTCGCTGGCTGGGCTAGTGCTGGGGTTGCCGACAGAGGAAGAGAACCAGAGAGCTGCTTCCCTGGAAGAGGCAGTGGCAGCTGCTGTTGGTGGCTTGGAGGCACTCTTCAAGGCCGGGCTGGGAGCAAGCTCCGGTCTCAGGCATCACTCGGCGGCGGCTCGGGCACTTGGGGAAAAGGGCCTGCAGCACGCCTCGCTCACCGGCTGTCCCCCAAAACAGCGTCTCTTGTACCCTCCATCCGGAACTGCATCCTACCAGTTGGCAGACAGGCGGGCTGGCTAGCAGACAGCAGTTCCGGATGGAGGGTGCAAGAGACGCTGTCTTGGGAGAGAGCTGGCGAGCGAGATGAGGCTTTTTTTGACTCTTGACAGCAGAGGACACGTGGGGGCTTCAGGGGGGGAGGCAATGCGAGGGCCGCAAACTATCATCCCCGGGCCGCATGTTTGAGACCCCTGATCTAAGGGATGTGCTGGAACACCAAATCTGATCCACGGAGGCCCCACCTCACAACTTTGAGGACTTAAAAGGATCTACTGCTAATGCCACGGTGCCAGATACCACAGGAAATATTCAGAGGCCTCATGGAATCCATGCCTTGATGCACCAGAGCTGTTGTGGCAGCATGAGGGGGACCTACATGATATTAGATAGGTGATTTTAATGTTGTGTAAGTAGATTTTAGTTCCACAGAACTAAAATCTACTTTTAAGTAAAGAAAGAATTAATAACTGTTTGGCTTTTAGAATGGCAGTTCTCAAACATGGGTCCCTGGTTGTAATGGCCAGTTTCTAGGGCTTCTGGAACTTGTAGCCCAACAGCATTTGGAGATCATCATTTGGGAACAACAGCATTTGGAGATCATCATTTGGGAACCATACTTGATACTGTATGCAATGATGTTGGCACCATGTTAATTATTGTGGAGGAAATTAGACATTTTCAGAAAAATATAGTTATTACTGCTCTGTATGGCCATGGCCTGTGTTCCTTGCAATATTTAATATAAACATTGTATAGTGATGTGGACATAATTGTACTGTGCATCTTTCTGCTGCCCCCTTCCATCACCCAGTGATTTAGATGGTAAGCCACATGCTGAGAAAATGTCATTGCAATACATTGTTTATTTTAGATGTTACACGAAACATAGAGCGGTAGTCCCTTTGCATCTCTTCTAACCTGTAGACAGACCCTTAGTGTATAGTTTACACTAGACTTGCTAGATGAAGCATAACTTAGCTGTCAAAGTAGAATGTTTTTGGGTGGTAAATACAGGAAATTTTTGTTACAGCTACACTGTTAAAAAAAATGGAAGTGTAGACACAATCAATATGAAAGCAGAGTCCACAGATTATTCCTCCAATAATACTTATCCAGGATCTTATGTTTTCAAATCCCTTGTGCAATGCCTTGTACATGAGTGATTTGACATTGCCATTTGGGTAATGAGGCATCCAGGGTCTTGTTGCACCATTGGAGCTCTTTGTTTTGCAAATATTCAACAGAATTTAGGCCCTTCCTACTCTTATTTGCACAGATAAACAACCTTACTAGTAAACAGTATACTGGTTCAAGCTGCCAATCCTGTGTCTCCTTGTCCGCTAACTCCCTTGTTCGCTTGGTACCAGTTCAACTTTCTTCTGCAGCTAAGGAGAATTAATCAAAAGCTTACAAGTTGATTCTACTGTGGCTGATTTTCTGAATATTACTTTGAGGTTACAGTGGCTGAAATTCTGTTGCCTAGCATAGTAATTAACATTAAAGTAGCCCAATGAATTAATGAGGATTTGATGAGTCGCTGACCCCTAAATTATATTGATTCAAATGGGCCTCCTCTTCTTGAAATTATGCTTTGGCATAACCCCTTCATGGTTTGCTGCCTTGTCGTGGTGAAGGGGCTTGAGTACTTCAGAGAAGCTATGGGCTATGCAGTGCAGGGACACGCAAGATGGACAGGTCATAGTGGAGAGATCTGATTAAATGCGACCCACCTGGAGCAGGAACTGGCAAGAAACTCCAGTATCTTTGCCAAGAAAACTCCATGAACAGAAACAAAAAGTTAAAGGTATGACGCTGGAAGATGAGCCCCTCAGGTCGGAAGGCATCCAACATGCTCCTGAGGAAGAGTGGAGGACAAGTACAAGTAGCTCCAGAGCTAATGAAGTGGATGGGCCAAAGCCGAAAGGACACTCAGCTGTGGACGTGCCTGGAAGTGAAAGGAAAGTCCGATGCTGCAAAGAAAAATACTGCATAGGAACCTGGAAGGTAAGATCTATGAACCTTGGTAAGCTGGATGTGGTCAAACAGGAGATGGCAAGAATAAACATTGACATCCTGGGCATCAGTGAAGTAAAATGGACAGGAAAGGGCAAATTCAATTCAGACGATTATCATATCTACTATTGTGGGCAAGAATCTCATAGAAGAAATGGAGTAGCCCTCATAGTCAACCAAAGAGTGGGAAAAGCTGTAATGGAATACACTCTCAAAAATGACAGAATGATTTCAATACGAATCCAAGGCAGACCTTTCAACATCACAGTAATCCAAGTTTATGCATCACCCACCCATGCTGAAGAGGCTGAAACTGACCAGTTCTATGAAGACTTACAAGACCTTCTAGAACTGACACAAATGTGAGATGTTCTTCTCATTATAGGGGATTGGGATGATAAAGTAGGGAATCAAGAGATAAAAGGAACAACAGGTAAATTTGGCCTTGGAGTTCAAAATGAAGCAGGTCAAAGGCTAATAGAGTTTTGTCAAGAGAACAAGCTGGTCATCACAAACACTCTTTTCCAACAACACAAGAGGTGAGTCTACACATGGACATCACCAGATGGGCAATACCGAAATCAGATTGATTAT